ATGTAGCCCATTAGCGGGGCCTGGCGGGACGGGGCGGGGCTTCAAGCGAGAGGGGCGGGGCCTGCGGACCGGGGCGCTCCCGGCCTTGCCCCGGTCCCGGCCCCGGTACCGATCCCGCTGCCCGGCCCGTCTGACCGCGCCTCCCCGCAGTCGGGTTCGAGTTCTGGAAGCAGCTCTGCGCCGAGCACGGCATCAGCCCCGAGGGCATCGTGGAAGAGTTCGCCACCGAGGGCACCGACCGCAAGGACGTCTTCTTTTACCAGGTACCGGCGGCCCCGGGCCGGGGAGCGGGCACACGGCGCGAAGCCCGCTGCCCCGGTCCCCGCGGGGCTCCGTGCCCCCGCAGGTGCCGTTCCCTGTCTGTGCCCCGTGCCCAGCCCCTGCGGGCCCGCGGGGCGGGCGCTGCCGGTGCCGGCGGGAGCGGCGGCTCAGCCCCGGCTCCTGCCTGCAGCCCGCTCCGGGCTCCCGCCTGCGCTCCCGCTGTGTTTGTGCAGCTCTGGGGGCGGAGCAGAGGCACGAGGCTGTGGCTGCCATAGAGAGTGTGTTATGTAAGCACCGAGGGTTCCTCCCCTGCCGCGCCGGGAGCGCTGTGGGGCGCAGACGCTGCATTGAGCAGGGCTGCACAGGAGCAGCCTCTCTCGCCAAGCCCGGCCGTGTGGGCTCAGCTGCAGCCAGGGGTGGCTCATGCTCTGGCAGTGGAAGTGGCACCGAGCTGCAGCAGCATGGGGATCCTCTTGCTGTGGTTGTAGGCAGATGATGAGCACTACATCCCCCGGGCCGTGCTGCTGGACCTGGAGCCCCGTGTCATCCACTCCATCCTCAACTCCCCTTACGCCAACCTTTACAACCCAGAAAACATCTACCTGTCTGAGCATGGAGGGGGAGCTGGCAACAACTGGGCCAGTGGCTTCTCGCAGGTACCAGCCCTAGTGCTGCTGGGTGAGACTCCTCAGCCCTGGGGCTTTGTCCTGTGTCCCTGCCCTGTGTGGCACCCCGGGCACGGGACCACGCTGCCAGTCTGACTCAGCTTCACACTGAGCTTGAGCAGCTCTTGTCTATGTTCTGTGGGAAAGGAGCAAAACCAGTCCTGATCTCTCTTGCAGGGAGAAAAGATCCACGAAGATATTTTTGACATAATAGACAGAGAGGCTGATGGGAGTGACAGCTTGGAAGTAAGTAAACAAGGGATTTGGATCTGGTGGCCCTGGCTGGTGTTTTCCCAGCTGGGTTGCTCTTTGTAAGGTTGAGCTCAGCACTCTGATGGGCACAGACTAGCTCAGTGAGCTTCTGAGCACAGAACATGTAGAGAGGGGATCTGGGGACAGGAGATCTGTCCATCCCCACTCCCCCTGCCAGCCTGCCCCAGAAGTTCTTCCACTGTTTGCTTGTGGGGCATTTTTCTTTATGCTGTCCATGTGAACCCATACCCTGTGTGCAGACAGACAGGGCTGCCAGGTGTTCATGTCAGGCTGTGACGTGGCAGCAGGGGAAGGGAGAACATCACTAAAAGAAGCTGGCAGGAGATTCAAGTGCCTGTTGTGGGAGCTGGGCATGTGGGAGCTGCCCTGGAGTCAGGCTGTGGGAGCTTGTCCTCAGTCATTCTGGGAGGAGGGAGGGGTGTGAAGGACCCAGGAAAGGGCTGAGAACGTGCAGTCCCATTTCCTGTGACCGACTGGACCCTGGAGGTGACATTGGAGCTGTTCCAGTCCTGTTCTGGGTGGGAGGAACCTGAATGCTCTGCAGCAGCTGTTGCACTTTGTGGGGTGTGCAGAGATGTGGACCCCAGAGTGTGGGCAGGAGTGGCCTGAGGAGCTGGGGTGAGTCTCTGCTGCATCCATGCTCCCTGCTGCTACGAGGAGCTCTGGCCCTGTCTGGCAGGTCTCTGCTGGAGGTAGCAGGGGTGACACATTGTCTGCCTGCTCTGGGGCTGAGCTTCACCTTCAGCACCTGCTGCTTCCTTCCAGGGCTTTGTGCTTTGCCACTCCATTGCTGGTGGAACAGGCTCTGGGCTGGGCTCGTACCTCCTGGAGAGACTGAATGACAGGTGAGACAGCCCTGTCCCCTTCCCACACCGCAGAGCTGGCCCAGCCTGGGCAGCCTGCCTGGAGCTGGAGAGCGCTGACTCAGAGCCACCACCCCCACCCAAACACTGCCTTGTGCAATCCCTGGCGTGCTGCCTGCAGAAGGCTGGCTCCTGATACGCCTGGGGACTAAAGAGGCTCTGAAACTGGACTTGGTCTGTCCAAGCTCTGCCTTCCCTCAGCCGTTCTTATCAGGCAGCTGCCTGTGGACACCCTGACAGTGCAGGGGAGGGTGGGAGGCTCTGGCTGAAGGCTGTGAGCTGCCATCCTGGCCTGTTTCAGCTTGCATCCTCTTGAAAATACTTGTGAGCAGCTGCTTAATCAGCCTGTGGATGGCTCAGCCTCCCTGTAGCTCCTCTGGCAGCCAGCTCCTGTGCTGCTGGGGTAGGCATTGCTGGGACACATTCTCTCCCTCCCTGGGAGCCACTCTGGCTGCAGCTTTGGTGACTCACCCTGTCCTGAGCCCTGGAGACTGCTTAGGCAGCTTGTGGGAGGGGAGAGTGCAGCTTGATGGTGTTAACCCTTGAGATGCTGCACTTCTCACTAGGTATCCCAAGAAACTGGTGGAGACCTACTCAGTGTTCCCAAACCAGGATGAGATGAGCGATGTTGTCGTCCAGCCGTACAACTCCCTGCTGACACTGAAGAGGCTGACCCAGAATGCTGACTGTGTGGTAAGAGGCCTGTGGTGCAGCCAGCCCTGAGGAGATGGCCCTGTCCCCACAGCTCAGAATTGCAGCCCATCCTGGGGCCAGCACCGTGTGCCTGCAAGCCCCAGGTGCAGCAATGAGTGTGCCCTGAACAGAAGGGCCAAGCAGATGTGGCCCCAGGGACCCTCACTGGTGCTAACCCCTGCAGAGCTGCCTGGCATTTCTGCCTTGGGTCCAGCAGATCTTCCCAAGGCAGTGAGGACTGGCTGTGCTTCCTCTGTGTAGCTGTGCTGCAGCCCCTGCCTTAATGCAACTCCTGTGTCATTTGCAGCACCCACAGCATCCCCAGCCAGGCAGCACCTTCAGCCTGCACCGGGGCCTTTGGTCACATCTGACCAGACAATGGGGCTGCTCCCTGCATGTGGCAGTGCAGGAGCAGTTGCATTGGAGCTGCTGCAAGTGCCAGTGCTGGTCCAGGGGCAGAGCTCTTTGGGAGAGCACGGGGAGCACAGCCAGGAGGGAGGGACGAGGTTCCATTGACGGTGTCAGTTACGTGCCACACATGAGTCAGCTTGTGGTTTCAAGTGTCTGCCACTTGTGCAGAGGGCTCCTCTCAGGGCCTGTGCTGGACCACCAGTGCCCTGGGACACATGGCCAGGACTGGCCTTCCTCAGCTGCCTCAGGGGCCCTTCACAGAGCCAGGTTTCTCTTGCAGGTGGTTCTGGACAACACAGCCTTGAATCGGATCGCGACAGACCGGCTGCACATTCAGAACCCATCATTCTCACAGATCAATCAGCTGGTGAGAAGGACTTTTCCCTCAGGAAAAACCAGAATAGGGTTTCCTGGCTGTGTTCAGTTTAATCTGAACCAGCTTCATGGGCTGGGCTCAGATGGGCAGCCTGGAGCTGTGAGTGAGGGCCCTGTGCCCTTCCAGGTGCCCCAGCTTCCCTTGGCATGTCAGCATGAGGCAGATTTTGACACTCTGTGACCCTCTGCTCACCCTGTCCTCTCCCCTAGGTGTCCACCATCATGTCTGCCAGCACCACCACGCTCAGGTATCCTGGATACATGAACAACGACCTCATTGGGCTGATTGCCTCTCTGATCCCCACGCCCAGGCTGCACTTCCTCATGACGGGCTACACGCCGCTCACCACCGACCAGTCGGTAAGGCAGGCTCCCCTCCCCATCCCCAGGGGCAGAGAAGCTGCCACACTCACCTTGCAGCATCCGTCAGCCCCGTGTCTCTGTGAGCTGTCACTGCACGTCCCAAATCCCAGGCCCACGTGCTCATGCCACATGACTGCAGCATGTGCAATGAATCAGACCTGAGCAGGCAGTTGTGCTTGTGCCAGGCTACCTGCTGCATGCATCAGGGTGGCTGTCGAGATCATCAGGGTCTGGACTGGCAAAAGCCACCCTTAGCAGTGATGAGAGCAAGGCCAGGAGAGTGGCCTTGCCAGTCCTGCCACCCCCATGAGCCATCAGCTTCAGCAATTTGTGTCCAAACACTAATGCTTATTGTCACTGATGGTGGGCTACAGGTGTCAGCCATTTCCTGAAGCTCAGTCTGTGTCTGAGAGTGAATTTGCCACCCTTCTGCACTTCAAGTGCTGCTTTTTGTGTTTGGCTGGTCCCTAACCAGTGTCCCCAGCACCCTGGTGCCAGTGGGGCAGTTCTGTTTCGGGAGGTGCTCACCTGCGCTGACCCACCACGGCCCGGAAGGAACTAACAGCTGCTCTTCTCCTCTCCCTGTGTGCATTTCCTCAGGATGTTTCTCAGAGAAGCAAATCTGAAAAACTGCTGGCTCTGAAAAGGGTATCGGTGTGTGATCTGTCCTCTGAGAGAGGAGTGTGGGCAGGGCTCAACCAGTGCAGGAGGGGTCTGCCAGCTCACCCAGCTGTCCCTGCTGTGGGCAGCCTGGGTGCTGGCCCTGGCTGTGCCCCCGCTGGCCAGCAGCAGCACTCAGGGAGGGCAGTGGCCAGGCTGCCCATAGCTCAGAGCTGGGCAAGGCAGGGAGGGCATGCAGTGGGGAACAGCCCCTTTGCTGTTGAACCCCCACTGCTCCCTGCCTGGCAGTGGGACAGGACCCATGTTTGACAGCAAAAACATGAAACAGGTCCCTGTCCCTCTGTTCTCAGCTGAGCTTCACCCCCAGCCCTGCTGTACTGGAGAATGTGGGCCAGACAGCCCCTACACTGGAGCCTCCACTGACACTTTGTTTCTTGGCCTGGCTGTGCCTGTTGTGCAGTGTTGGGATTTCCCTGTCTTGCATGTGGCTTTGCATGTGACTACATGCCCAGGGTGAGGGCATTTCTGTCCAGCTGCCCCCTGTTCCTGTGTGAGTGTGTACCAGGCAGCAGGAGGGCAGGGAGCAGCACACCTACTGCCTCTGACCCCTGGCTGGCCCGTGCAGGTGGCCAGTGTGAGGAAAACCACAGTCCTGGACGTGATGAGAAGGTTGCTGCAGCCTAAAAACGTGATGGTGTCCACAGGGCGAGACAGGCAGACCAACCACTGCTACATTGCCATCCTCAACATCATCCAGGGGGAGGTGGATCCTACACAGGTGAGTCCCCGTGGCTGTTCAGGTTCCGATGGCAGTGGTGTGGCAGAGGGAAGAGCATGGTCACTGTGCAGGGATCCTGGGGTGAGCTAGGCAGTGCCTGAGAGCTGGCTTCAGACTGCTCGTTTGGGCTTTGGCCTCATGGGAAGGCTGCAGTCATGCTGAAATGACTGAAATGACTCCCCGTGGCTGTGGGGAGCAGCTCCTGGGTCTGCTGCAGCCAGGCTGTTTGTCCCTCACCCTGCTGTCCCTTGCTGCTCTCATCCCGCCAGGTTCACAAGAGTCTGCAGCGGATCCGGGAGAGGAAGTTGGCCAACTTCATCCCCTGGGGCCCTGCCAGCATCCAGGTGGCTTTGTCCCGCAAGTCCCCTTACCTGCCGTCCGCTCACCGCGTCAGCGGCCTCATGATGGCCAACCACACCAACATCTCCTCGGTGAGCTCCTTCCCTCCCACACCCGGCCCTGCAGCCCCAGACCTCGTGCCTCTTCATTCTGGGCCTGTCACAAAGCCAGGGACGGGGGTGGGTGGCTCCCAGCAGGGATCAGTCCTGCTGGCTTCTCTTGGGAAGGGTCCCTGGGGAGCTGTGGCCGCCCTGACCCGGCGCTGCTCTCCAGCTGTTCGAGCGGACGTGCCGGCAATACGACAAGCTGCGCAAGCGAGAGGCCTTCCTGGAGCAGTTCCGCAAGGAGGACATCTTCAAGGACAACTTCGACGAGCTGGACAACTCCCGGGAGATCGTGCAGCAGCTGATCGATGAGTATCACGCAGCCACACGCCCTGACTACATCTCCTGGGGCACGCAGGAACAGTGAGTGCCCTGCCAGCAGACAGGTCCGTGGCCACCCCCACGCACGCCGGCAGGGCTCGTCTCTGCCGTGCCCACGTTTGTCACCCCTCAGCGCTGCCTGGCGTGGCAGAGCCCTCGTGCCAGTGCTCCTCTGTGGAAAGCTCTGTGTGGGGAGCCTGCAGCTCCTCAGCGGGGCACAGCCCCCGCCCCACCGTGTGCCCTGGCCCAGGACAGGACTGGGGCAGCTGCGCGCTCTGCTGGGAGGGAACCTCTGCCTGTGGGAGCAACACTTGCTGTGAGGAGGAGGAGGAGAGTGACCCTGGGGCTGGGAACAGGTCTGGCCCCCTGAGTTTGGGTGCACACAACCCCCGTGGCCAAAGGCTCCGTGTGGCTGAGCTAGTCCTTGCCCTGGGCAGGAGCCTTGTTCCTCCTTGGCCAGATCAGGCCTGGGGCACGGGCTGTATCTATATTTTTGTAGGTTATTTTGCTTTAATAAAGGCTGTTCCTGCACTGATGCATGACTCCAGATTGAACAGCCAGGCAGGGAAGCCAGATGCAGAGACTGGGGTTGGTGCTTGCCTTGTCTGGCTGGCCAGCTGGCCGCAGTGCACAGGAGAACCATGCTCACCGACATGCCCTGGGGTGTGCAGGGCCAGCTCTGCCCTGGCTGGCAGTGCCATGGGGCCCAGGCAGCACTGGGCAACTGCTGCAGCAGAGCCAGAAATACTGGCAGGACCTGCCAGCACAGCTGACCAGGGCTGGGACTGGCACCGCCCTGCCCGCAGAGCACACGGCACCCACATGGATCTTCTGCAGGAGTGAGGCCCTTGCAGGGGTGGGCCGTGAGGGGCTGGGGGTGCCCTCACCACTCAGGATCCGAGGCAGGGACAGCAGCACCAGGAAGGACATGGACATGAGGCCGTACAGTGTCAGGGGATATGGACACAGCAGCGCTGGTCCTGACCTGTGGGAGTTGGGCTGTGGCCTGGGACAAGGGGCAGTCCTGGCACTATCCCAAGCCCAGACAGCCCAAGGTGAAAATTAGCATTTTCCTCTTACCCTTTGGGGCACAGAGCAGGTGACTAAAAATACAGCCACTGTGGCAGCATGGGCTCCCACGCCCTCTTTGGCAGCGGCCCCCGTGGCTGGGGCAGTTCCCCCCCCCCGGGGCAGCCAGTGCCAGGGGCTGCCGGGGAGCTGGAGCTGCCTGTGCTCTTGGGGAAATGCCAAAGGTCGCCTGGCAATGACCAGAGGGACAGCAGTCCCTGCCCCCAAGGACACGCTGTGCTGCTCCTCCCCGCTGCCTGTCCCAGGCCCTGCTGCCCTAGCTGCCCCAGGGATCCGACTGTCCCAGCCTCCTGCTGGCAACCCACGCTCCAGGACAGGAGGCCCAGCCTTTCCTTTGTGCATTTATTTAGAAAAACAACCAACCAACCCCCCCATCCCAAGACAGAACCAACAAACTCTACAGAGGCAACACTGAGGGGCCAAGCCCCAGCCGTACCAGCTGCCACTTCACCAGCCACCCCTGTGACATAAACCTGGCCACAGGGCCACCGCAGAGCCCAGCCACTCATGCAGGAGGAGCCCGTGGGTCCCCAGGGCAGCTTGGCCAAAAGCCGCCCGCAGCTTTCCAGAAGGGGTGGGTCCAGAGGACGGACAGACAGATAATGGCACAGCACTACTGCCTGGTACCCTCTGCTCTGCCCAGGGCACGAGCAGAGTGGCCAGGCAACACAAGTGCTGGAGGCAAAGGCACCAGGGTATAGGGGACGGGGACAGGCCTGGGGGCAGCGTGGGGGACCGCAGCGAGGCGGCCCCGCTGCCCACCAGGGAAAGTGCTGGGAGACGTGGGGCGCGCAGGCGTCTCAAAATAAATTAAGGGAATAGCCAGAAAGGCAATGGCAGTGGGGGAGCACAACCCCCTGGCCCCCTGCTCTCTGGAGCAGCTGGGGGCCAGCACAGACCTGCCACTCGCTGCCGGGCTTGGCTGCCCTCCCACGCCGGCCATCGGAGCCCCTGCGCGGCCACACCAGCTGCTGGGCTAGCTGTGGGAGGAACCCACTGGTGGCCGGTGCTGCCAGGGCCCGGGTGCAGGGCAGAGCCCCTGGGGCAGCACAGTGGGCTCCAAAGTGGGGGGACTGGCAGGAGGCTCCTGGGGCCGGGGCAGCCGCTGGGCACCCGCAGAGGCGAGGTATGTGTTGAGGAGCTGGGCGATCTCATCCACCTGCAGGTAGAGCAGGTACAGGGGGTCAGTCTGGGGCATCCTTGGTGAGAGGGGAGGGTGGAGGGATGGCAGCTCCTTACCTGGGAGGTCTCAAAGAGCAGGTCTCGATCCTCCACGGAGAGGCGGAAGGTGCTGCTGTCAGAGGCACCAAAGGAGGAGATGCGGCCGTAGCAGAAGCTGTCCAAGGGCTCGGGCTCTCCCGGCTTGTAGAGCGAGACGGCCTTGGCCCCGATGCCCAGCCACAGGCGCTGGGGCCCGGGGCCCACTGGGCTCTGCAAGGGAGAGGGGTGTCAGGGTTGCCCACTGCCAGGGCTGCCCCTGTACCACACCCAGCCGGGGCCTCACCGCCTGCAGGTCGACATCGAAGAGCGTGGAGCCAAAGCCAGGCCACTCCCGCACCAAGGCCACGTAGGCAGCCATGGCCTCGGGCCGGCCCATGCCCTGCAGCAGCTTCCACTTCTCCACAATGGCAGCCATGGTGCTGGCCCCCTCCTCACGCAGACGGCCCCGCAGGCGCTGGTCCCGCTCCGCCCGTTGCTTGGCCAGCGCTTGACCCCAGAGCCCCCCGGCCAGCAGCCCTGCCCGCAGCCGAGCCCCCCGGCACTTGGCGGGGGGCCGGTGGGGCAGGGGCGGCAGGCGGGCGTGCAGCACGTGGGGTGGGAAGAGCTCCTCCAGGCGCGGGAAGGGCGCGTGGGTGGAGAAGTCGCTGTTGAGGCTCTGCAGGCGCAGGGCCGCCAGCGTCTGCAGCGTCTCCTCGGATGTGGGCACGTAGCCCCGCAGCACCATCTCATGTGCCTGTGAGAGAGAGGGGTGAGCCAGCACAGCCACCACGGCACGGCACGGCACGGCACAGCCACCCCAGCGTGCCACTCACCTGCTCAAAGAGGAGGGCAAACTCCAGGCTGTCCCGTGGGACGTTGTCCGTGTCCAGGAAGCCGTAGTGCTTGAAGCAGAGCCGGCATGGTGGGTCCTGCTCCCGGTCCTCTCCAGCCAGGCTGCAGCAGACAAGACCGGCTCCATCAGCTTGTGGATGTGCCCCATACCCATCTGTCCCCTCCCACCCGTGGCCCCCCAGCCCCTCTCCTCCATAGGCAGCAGAACAGGACATTTACTTTTCAAACCTGGTGAGGACATCAGCCAGCAGTGTGGCACTGCCCACTGGCTGCTCCCGTCGCCGGGACTGCTCGTAGAGCGCAAAGAGGTTGGGGCTCTGGGACAGCCCCAGGCGTGACACAAGCTCCTGGGCCACCTGGGCGAGACAAAGGCAACCGATGGTGACCACGTGTTCCTGGCCACGGCACTCAGGGCTGTAAAGGGACACAGATTGGTCATGGTGGGCAAAGGCAGACAGCCCCGGCCCCTCTCCACCATGGCTCAGCTGGGAGAGACCCTGCTCACCTGCTGTGGCACACTGCCCACCCAACCCTGCGCATCAAAATGTCCCCAGCCCCCTGCCTGGCACAGCCACAACCCCTCACCTCCTCAGCTGTGGTGTGGGAACTGATGGCCACACTGCAGGCAGGTGCCCCAGGGCAGTGCACTGTGCAGATCATCTCTTGCCGCTGCATCAGCACCAGGATCTCCTCCAGAGAGGGCACACACTCCCTCCCCTTTGTCTTCCCCAACGCCTCTCGGATGAAACAGGCGTACTTGGCCATCTCCGAGGCAGGGAAACGGTTCTCTGTCCTGCAAGAAATGCCAGGAGGATCAGGCACCGCTCTGAGGGGCGCTGGCACCTGGCGAGCTCCCTGGTGCCAGCTAGCACCCCTGGCACTCACCTGTCCAGGTGGAAGCGCAGGAAGCGCAGGACAGGCGGGGAGGGCAGGAAGGTGCAGCTCATGCAGGTGAGGAGCTGCCAGTAGTGCAGGTCGCCCTGCCCACCCGGCGCCGGCGGCTCCGTAGTCTGCTTCACCAGCTGGCAGTAGATCTCATCCACCAGCGGCGGCAGGTCCAGGCAGGTCTGCAGGACACCCTGCATCAGCGGCACCGGGTCCCGCTCTGACTCCAGCTGCTGCAGCGAGTTGAAGAGCTTCACAGCCTCGTCACGCAGCGTGGTGTAGCTGCGGGGGCCAGGGGCTGTGGGATGGCATGAGGGTTAACAGCCCTGTGGTGTAGCTGTGGGGACCAGGGGCTGCGCAGCGTGGTGTAGCTGTGGGGGCCAGGGGCTGCACGATGGGATGAAGGTTAACAGCCCCGTGGTGTAGCTGTGGGGACCAGGGGCTCCAGGATGGATGAGGGTTAACAGCCCCGTGGTGTAGCTGTGGGGACCAGGGGCTGTGGGATGGCATAAGGGTTAACAGCCCCGTGGTGTAGCTGCAGGGTCCAGGGGCTGTGGGATGGGATGAGGGTTAACAGCCCCTTGGTCCTCCCCAGGACCCCCTGCCAGCAGCTGGGCACTGTTGTCACACCCAGGGCCAGCCAGGCCCCAGCCCAGTGCCCACCTGCCCCGCACAGCATCCAGCCCAGCCATCAGTGCTGCCAGCCTAGAGTGTAGGACCCAGCTCTGTGTCCCCCAGCTGCCGCTCACCGCTTTGGTCCAGGCTGCCGTAGGGGAAGGGCAGCAGGGGAGCGTAGAGGGGGCCACTGGTGTAGCGCAGGATGGGGTTGCAGCGATAGATCTGCTCCAGAACCTCAGGGCTGTCTCTGTGCTCCTGGGGGGCAAAGCAACAGCAACAGCTGCAGAGGGGTAACCCAGCCGAGTGCCTGGCACAGACCCCCACCACCACCCTGGGGCATGCAAGGCCCCAAACACCCACCCCAGTGCTGCCTACGGCTGTGGGCATGGGCAGCCCGGTGCCAAGGGCTCACCTCGACATCACGCATGAGCAGCTGGGTGGGTGTTTGGACAGGGGCTTTGCTGTCGATGACCTTCTGCACGGCGCACACCCAGCGCACAGCCTCGTTGAGGTGCTCCGTGTACAGGCGGTAGCAGTGCTTCCTGCCAAACACCGTCACGCTCCAGTAGCCTGCGAGGGACAGACCCGCTCACCCACTGTCCAGCAGCACCCCAGCCAGGCTGGCTCAGCGCCCCAGAGCTCAGCACAGCCTCTCCTCTGGGCAAAAGAAGCCCTCAGGGCTGGGAGGGTAACACAGGGTACAAGTTGTGCCGGGAAGATGCAGCCCAGCCAAGGGGCATGGGCAGCTCACCCGTCTCCTTGTAGAGCTGCTTGTCTGGCCAGAGCACAGAGCAGAGGCTGGTGAGCACCAGGGAGCCCAGGCGCCTGGCCCCCTTCTCGTTGCTGCTGTAGTAGTCCAGGGAGTCAGGCGTCAGCACGAACCAGTA